ATGGAGGGGACAGGTCTGTGCAGATTCCTTCTCTTAAGTGTGGGTGGGGGAACTGGAATATCTCAAAATAAAAGCCTCCATAAGTAGAAAAAGAAAATGAGCTGAAAAATGTTCAACCTTTCTTCAAAGTCAACTTAACACTAAGACATGCATGAAGATTGGTACTGGTACCAGTCACCTTTCAAGAACAGAATGGGAATTGGTATAATCAGCCAAATTTTTGTATTGATACAACTCAAATAATAAGTAAATTTTCACCTTGGAGATCAGTTCCCTGGCACCATCGGAGAATCGATGACTGAACACGTAACTGAGGGCAGTGATGCGGCGCTTTGTTTCCTTCTGGGAGTCATGCTCAAATGGGGGAGATCCGTTGATCATCTCGTAACAAAGTACTCCAACACACCAATTGTCCACGTCATAACCATACCTTTCATTTGCCACTATTTCTGGGGCCAGGTAGTCAAGGGTCCCACACATAGTTTCTCGCCTATGGGAGCAGCAAAGTTTGTATATTGCCTGAAATATGGTTCTCCCACCCACACTTAAGAGAAGGAATCTGCACAGACCTGTCCCCTCCATGGACATGGACAGACCATCCAAAATCAGAGACTTTTAGATTTCCACCATGGTCAATCAGAATGTTCTCTGGCTTGATATCTCGATGGATGATGCCTTTTGAGTGAAGGAAGTCCAAGGCATTGGCCACTTGCTTCACATATGTGGCTGTCCTAATAAAACAAAATCCATGTGATCAGCCTATTCAACTGAAAGGTTAGGACAATTGGTCAAGAAATAACATCAAGAAATTTAATTGGTGATGACACAATCAAAGGCTCAACTCTAACTACCAACTTTTAGTTTCATTTGGGTTTCAGTCATATTTTTTAAACAACCAAGAAATCAATAAAGCATCCTGGAAACAGTGCAGTTAGTCTGCAAGAAAAAATTCTAATTCAGACAATGATGACATAATTTTTGAGTTGCAGAGTTACAAAGCCTTGAAGTGAAAATTTTGACTAATAGAAATAGAAAACACATGTGAAGTCTAAAACAGGAAAGAAATATGAATTCAGTTTCCAGTTTGTTATTTAAAAAAAAAAATTTTCAACTGGTTCAACAGCCTGGCCATAAAGATTTATTTACACTGTTCACTGTAAGTTAATGCTTTCCATCCACCTAACTACCCCTGCAAAAAATTCATCCTTACTTTTTGCAAGAATTTCCAATGTCTTAATGCCCCTTTTCTTGACATTACCATGGCCACTAAGCATTGCACAAAAACATTTAATAACAGATCAAATCCAAACCATAATTACTAACTAATGTTCACTTTTGGCCCTTTTGGATTCCTTCAATAGTAACTTTAACTGTTGTATTCACTTTTCTTCTCTATTCACCTTTCAAACAAATAAAATTTCCTTTTTCAGGGCCTACATTAACTATTGTAAAAGGCTCCATTCATGTTTTGCAAAACCTCCATTCATTCATATAGGTTGTTTATTAAAGTAACTTAGTGCTTTGATTCTTTTTGCTTGAGCCAAAGCTTCAGAGATTAATAGGAATGTCTAATAAATAAAAACTCTATAAACTTCACAGGTGAAATAAATAAATATGAATAAATAATAAAGGTTTCAATAGTTTTGGGTCTCTACAAACCAAGAAGGGGCAATGTCACTTCACCAATTTTCACTTGCATCACAACTCCCTCAGTAAGTCACCCAGCCAAGGCTGAATGATTTCTTTCCATTTCAAATATCAGTCCCCATGAGTTGTCAAGAAATCTTTGACAAGATCAGGTCTAATAATGCATCCACAGTACATTTCAGATGAATTCAAAGATTTAACTAATGAAATAGGATTAACTTTGAGAATTTTACTTTAAAAATATGAACTGCTTCATATTTTCAATGGGAAAATCTGCAAAACCAGACTTCCAAAGCAACCAAAAAAAAAAGACATGAAGCAATAATACTAAGTGAAGCTCATAGGAATGGGAAAGGTTCAAAGTATCTGAAAAAATAGAAAGAGGAGAAACCTATTCTCAGGGAAACGTCCTCCTGGGCTCTCCTGCAGGACCCGATATAGCTCCCCATAGAAACAGTACTCAAGCATGAGGTAGATCTTATCATTGTCATGAAAATAGTTGTAGAACTCCACAATATGTGGGTGCCTGAAACAAACACAAGATTGAAATCAGCAGGTGGGAACTTCAATTTAAAAAAAAAGAATGAAGAGTTACTTCACCTGCCAACATTGATGCTGATTTCAATCTCTCTTACCAACTGATGCTCCATCTTGTACTTGATAAGTTGTTGCTTGAAGAGTACTTTAAGGGCAACCAAGTACTCCCTTTCCCGTGTTCGAGCCAGATAAACTCTCCCAAACTTTCCACTGCCCAATGGTCTCCCAATTTCAAAATCACTCAGCTTCCAGCTTTTTGGGAGGAAAACAAACATGCATGTCATGTTAGGACTAAAGAAGAATATACAGGGTGGTCCAAAAAATAAAACAAAGCCGTCATTTTTGGTGAGTTGTCAATCTGATTGTAGGCTGCTAATTCTGATGAAATTTGTTAGCTTATAGAGTGACACAATTGGGGTTTGTGTGCCAAATTTCAGCCTTCTGGCTCTAGAATTGCAGGAGCTATAATTATTTTCTAATAATCCACTGTAAAATGTGCTGTTGCAAATGTCAATATGAACTTGAGGTCTGTAAGGGCTAAGTTAGTTTATAAACTAGGCTAGGCTAAGGCCAACCTACTTACAATATCTCACACACTATCTCAAAAATTGAGTTACCCTATATGTCTACCAAACTTAATCAGAAAAAGCAGGCTACAATCAGATTGACAATTCACCAAAAATGACAACTTTGTTTTATTTTTTGGACCACCCTGTATTATTTCACTTCTAGATAGTCAATCAAAGGTGTTTCTGCACAACAGCAACTTTTGATGCTTTTTGGCATGCTTTACCTGATGACAATTATAACTTTAATAAAAATATTCCTTTTTAGCCATTTTACATTCTAGGTAAAGCTTGAAATGAAGGTTCTCCTTGGCTATAAACTCATTGGCAAGTAGGAGAAAGACACAGATAGGTATGGGTGGGATGACAACAGTTCATGAGCCCAGTTGCTATGTGTGCTACCCCTGGGGCACTGCCTTGCCACAGAATAATGCTGTAAAGTCCTATTTTACTGGCCCACTTTTGGCACAACAAACAGATGAGCAAAATAAATATAGATTGCTCCGTTTGATTGACTTAATCACTTTACTTTCTCTGTTAATGGGCCTGGGATTACATGATTATGGTTAAGTGCATATCCCCTAGAGAACGTGATACCCGTAAAAAGCTAGGTTAAATTAGGTTAATGTAACTGAAAAAAAAAAAGAATTCCAATCGATATTGCATGTTTTCAGTTGCAATCATTTGGAAACATGTGAGACTGGAGGAGTGCACTTTCTCTAGAGGTACACGCTTAACTGTTATTGCCCCACTGCCTGAAAAAGAGCTTGTTCAACGTACTGGTCTTCAGAAGCCTTTCCTCTCTTCTTGGATCCTGCTGATGCCATATTTAAACACTTGGTTTTCAATTTAGAGGTTGGAGACTAGCCTAATTCACCTTCATTCAGGGCAGCCACAATCCAAAATTCCGCACACCTTGGCCTAAATATAGGCCTAAGTTGTGTTAAGATCAAGATGATCTGCAAAGTAGATATGAAGGTAACAGTCAGATTAAGTACAAGCCTATGCTGGCCTTTATTATGAGAGGTATTAGAACATGATCTGAGGTCATATTACAATGCTAAATCGAATGTTAATGTAAGTATGCGAAAGTCGACCCGTGCACGAATTTGGATGGAATTCCGGTTCACTTCATGGACCTCGCCATTATAATGACATACTGCCCTGTGTCTTCGTCTTCGAATCCATGTTTTAAGCGAAGCTTAAAATGTGTCTCACAGAGAATGCATCGTTGTTAATCCATATAGTCAACTGGAAACGAGCTCCTTAAATTACATCATTCTTACTTTAAGTGAGGCATGCTGAGATTATGATTACAAATGTCCCTGGTATATATTATGTTGTGGTACTTACTGGTGGCTCTAAGCATTGATGGTTGTAAATATAGTGTTCTAAGGTAACTGAAGAGTATGCTGCAAGAAATGGTTACATCATTATGTTCATGGAATTCAATATTTTAGAGGGCCGGTTTTCTGGATCGAATCGTAGTAAAGGTCTCTGAAAGTCGATCCCTAGTCGTAGGCATAGGCAAGTGAAGCACACGCCTAAGGTCGGGAATTCTGCATTCATATGTACAACGCCACTTCTCTGGTTGTGCTAACCGTACATGTATCTTTCCATGGTCAGCCTAAGATCTATTGCACGGGTCGACTTTCGCATACTTACATTAACATTCGATTTAGCATTGTAATATGACCTCAGATCATGTTCTAATACCTCTCATAATAAAGGCCATGGATATTCTAATCAAGTTTGACTGTCAAGCAATATCCAGCTAGTTCCCTCTTTGAACCTCCCTCCTGGAGGTACCACTCAGGCAATTATGCTGGGAATATGCAGTCTGTCCAAAATCGGTCGTTCCTGGCTCTGCAAGCCAACACGGCGAGCAGCGTGCGCATATAGAGGCTTGCTAAGACCTTCACGCCGGGTGATGGATGCTTAGTGAGGCTAGGAAGCACGATCATAGTCGGGCCGACTTTGAGGAACCGCAGAGTCGGTTTTCGCGCCGTTGGTTCGATTCATGCGCCCAAATATTATTGCATTTCAATGCTTCTTGCGATATCATTACTAATGATGCAAAGGCTTTCAAGCTGATATTGTAGATCACAATCCAACTTTTACAGATAAACACACTCACGACCCTGCGTGAAGCATTAGTTCAGTATGGGGAATCTCTTGTGCAGCACGTCATTGTACTAAGGAAACGGGCTCGACTTTCGTGTAATTACTATACTCAACAATAAAAAAGTCGATAGAATGTTCAACACGAAATACTATTATACGGTCATGAAAAAAGCGACATAGACCTAAAACTGCAGGGGATTGGAAGATCGGTTAGGCCTTTTCTTTTCTTTAAGTGATATAATAAATGCAAACCATCTTCTTGGAAATTGGGCACTAATGATGGGCCTTGGGTTCTGTAACGATCGACGATTTTCTAGGTGTAGATTAGTAATATGCCAACGCCTCGGCTAACACGCTTGAAAGTCAGGCCAAACGCAAAGGCCTAACGTTAGTTATTTGACAGATTTGAATACAGACTTGAACCTACCACATGCTCGGATCCATGACGGACGTTAGGTAGGCCTAACCTATCTTTAGTCCTAAGCCAGTTCCGAACTGTTTCCTTTCTTTCTGCCGAGACTGCTGGATTCATGTAAACCCCTTAGTGAAACATAGGCCAATAGTCCTACAAAATCTTACATCCCGCCAGCTCGGCCCTCACGAGCGGCCCGCTAACCGAATGAGAGCAGGGTTGTCGGATTGCCACAGAACTATTGAGCTGTCAAAGTTTGAATTGCTGACAATTACTGAGAAAATTACTGATCACCTTAGCGTTGAATAAATTAATAAAAACTTTATTAAATAAAAACATAAATGCGCAATGGAAATAGGAGCATGTAGCTTAAATACCGAGAGACCCAAATCTTCCACAATTTTGATATTGGCAGATACTAAGGATATCAATAACATTCGAAGAAAACGTCTGCAAGACATAGACAATATCCAGAAGGGGACATTTGCGCAACAGAATGGCTCTGAATTAAATTAAAATCAAATGCACGATCTTTACCCACTCTTACATCAAATTGAAAGTTACTTCTGTCAGCAGTTTCTATAGCATCCGAATGACTGGGCTCAATGTTTATGTGCATCTTCAGTCCGAGTTGGGGTGCCAGTCAACGACTAAGTATTCCTGTTCCCTTCTCGCCCTCGTGAATGACAGATCAATTTTAAACAAAGAGAAAGAGCGGCAGCTCCTGACAGCATAGACAGGGTTGCTGGGCATCGTGAAACGCTGCATCTGGCATCCTGTACTTCATGCTTTCCTTTCATCTCCACGGGAGGTGGACATGCGAACCGTCGAGGACATCGTGGAATTATCTGGGGCGATGCACGTAGGCCTACGACGTACGATATGTCAACTTTTATTTATTTATCATTTATTGAGCGGTTAGGATGTTGGGAAAGGAGATAATTCCAGATGTATACAATTTAGTGGCCAGTGGAATGGCATATTTGAACCTGGACTGATACTCTAGCTCCTACTGTAGCATTTCCCTTGTATCATTCTACTCATATCCCTGTTTGGTCAGAGAGTTATGTCTGACTAATATGCGGCCAATTTCGTCACAACTGATGGTGGAGGGGGGGGGGGGAACTTCAGCTATTGGAGAAATGTATGAATCGATAAAGATCTAATAACGGCAGGAGAACAGAAATGGCTAAAAGCAATTATAAAATGCCCGTGAGGGTCGATGAGGCAGTGAGCCTTTCCTTTGTTCTCCACGTAAATTTGGTAACGCTTTTCCGCGATATAAGATGGATTTCATTTCCAGCCCAATCGATACTTAGGCATTGGTCTATCTTTTCCGATACGCTAGGGAATGCTTGTGTGTCTTAAATTAATAAATTTCTGCTTCTATAATGACAAAAGTAAATTAATAAATAAGTAGGTAAATAAATAAGTCAATTCTTCACATGATCACCCTCCACCCTCCCTGGGCCGCTCCAACGCTACGCCGCTCTCTCTGTCGTAGGCCTTCAAGGATCGAATTTTTATCAAATACCACCTCATCGGCCCGATTTATGGCCCGCACCCGACCAGATAGAACTTTGGGGACCCGACCCGCGGATCGTGTCGGGCAGATCGGGCTGGCCCGCGGCCCACGTAGGGTTCTAAGCTTCAGAACTCGATATCCATAATTTCCCCTCATACTCGACTGGAAACCCGATTGCAAATCGTGCCACACGCCCGATTCAAGTGTAGGGTCGGTCCAATCGAGCCGACACCTATCCCTTGCAGGGCTTTAAGCTGTTGTACTCATAGTTTATGATAACGGGCAGCATCCTCGATCCTTCATCCCACTCACTTGGATGCTCCAAATTCAAACGGTGCGCCTCACTTCAATGCTAAGGGACATAATCCGTAGGAAATTGACGAATAGGAATATTGCGGGGTCTTTCATTGTGGAAATCATCCCCTTTTCTTCACTCAGTAATTCTAACTTCAGGTTTCATTTGAATACAATGGGAACAAAGAAAAAGTGGTCCATCCTTTACGCTCTTAGAAAAGGGGGAGCGATTTTTCTCAAAAAGAGAGTAAAATAGCTAACTCCAGTTTCACCCCCCTATCACTCTTGGAAAGGAGCGAATTTACTCCATCACCAAGGAGTAAAATTGCTCTCCTCTGTGAGTAAAAACGCTCCCATCAGAAAGTGATAGGGATGTCGTGCAAATACGAAAATTCCCCTTTATAATGTGTGCCGCTCTCGCACAGGAGTTGACCTACGTACAGATCGTACTAATTACAGAACACGTCAGAGGGTGGACCATCTCTTATAGGTTCCGTGGAGTGTCCGGGATATCTGTCCCTTATTATCTCATCTAATTGAGGTATGCTTGATTGAAGCTCACGAACACTGTATATTCTAGATCTCTTATACGGATAACAGCGTTCTTTTTTTTTTGTTCAATGACCATTTATTATACAGTATGCCCTTTACAGGAAGAGGATACAAGATGAGAGGAAGTGGAATATACAGTTTCGGTTATGGAAAGGTGGTAATTCTTCAGAAGTTGTTGAAGTCCAGGTCTTGGGGTTGTAAGGTGGTGTGGAGGTCTTGGGGTTGGGTGGGTCCGCGGCCAGNCTCACTAAGCATCCATCACCCGGCGTGAAGGTCTTAGCAAGCCTCTATATGCGCACGCTGCTCGCCGTGTTGGCTTGCAGAGCCAGGAACGACCGATTTTGGACAGACTGCATATTCCCAGCATAATTGCCTGAGTGGTACCTCCAGGAGGGAGGTTCAAAGAGGGAACTAGCTGGATATTGCTTGACAGTCAAACTTGATTAGAATATCCATGGCCTTTGATATAGATCTTAGGCTGACCATGGAAAGATACATGTACGGTTAGCACAACCAGAGAAGTGGCGTTGTACATATGAATGCAGAATTCCCGACCTTAGGCGTGTGCTTCACTTGCCTATGCCTACGACTAGGGATCGACTTTCAGAGACCTTTACTACGATTCGATCCAGAAAACCGGCCCTCTAAAATATTGAATTACATGAAAATAATGATGTAACCATTTCTTGCAGCATACTCTTCAGTTACCTTAGAACACTATATTTACAACCATCAATGCTTAGAGCTAAAAGTGGGTTCACCCTTTCTCATGTGCCGCTTTCTCATGTGTGTCCTATTACTTAAGTGGTGATCATGCAAAATAGAGAATGAATACTACTTCTCTTTCTTGATAGAATACAATTCTTTTAAAGGATGTGCGACATATATTTTTCCCTCAACAATTTTTTTTCGAGGCGGCGTAAAATACCATAGTCACGTGAGCATTATTTCGTAAGCGTGAAAAGAGAAACATCCCTCCCTCTTGACAACGATCAAATAGAGTTTTTACAATACAGGGCTGGCCAAAAGTAATGATTCACATTAAAACGTTATTACATTGA